AACTTGAGGAGAACCCTTGAAACGTTGCGATCAGTCGGAGCATTGAAATACAAGGACTGCCACCCCTTTAAAGTACGAAAACATCCAAAATACCCCCGCTGCCCCCCTCATTTTTCGTTACGGAGCGGGTAAAAACCGGGACAATCGCCAGAAATGATGCCCGAAACCACTGTAGAACTTGATGAGAACCCTTGAAACGTTGCGCTCTGTCGGAGAACTGCAACACAGGAACTGCCGCCCACTTTAAGGACGGAAACATCCATAAAACCCCCACTGCCCCCCTTTTTTTTCGTTGCAGAGCTGGTAAGAACCGGGGCATCATTTCTGGCGATTTTCCCGGTTTATACCCGCTCCGTAACGAAAAATGAGGGGGGCAGCGGGGGTATTTTGGATGTTTTCGTACTTTAAGGGGGTGGCAGTCCTTGTATTTCAATGCTCCGACTGATCGCAACGTTTCAAGGGTTCTCCTCAAGTTGGACATTAGTTTCGGGCATTATTTGTAGTGAATTTCCCGGTTTTTACCCGCTCTGCAACCAAAAATGAGGGGGGGCAGGGGGCTAAGAGTTTTGAAAACTCACTTTAAAGTCGCAGGCTGCGTTTGCGTTAACATTGGCAAGAAGTTCCACTCGGATTTGATGCTAAGTTTGAAGCTCTTCTGTGACTTTTCTCATTTTAATGCAATGTTTCATTGTAATAGGCCCATAACCCCCTACGGGGTGTAACGAGGCAAATCCCGTTTCTTCAGAGGCACATACGTCCTCTGGTATAAGATAAGCCAACGTTACTGTAGTTGCCGGAATGAGCTCGCCGGGATCCTGGGTTCGGGCGCCAATTTTAAAAATGCGAGAGTTTGAAAGAGGGGAAGAATGATCAAACTCTTGTGTCTCAAATTTACAAAAAGAATGTCCGTTTATTAGCTAAATTTGTGAGGATCCTACTCTAAATATTATGATAATAATAATTTAGCCGAAATGCCACTCACTAACGTGCACCTCAAGGCTTGAAATTTCAGGATACATTTAAGAGGAGAGGAGGAGTGAAGCTGGGCGAGATGCTACTCACTAACGTGCACCTCAGCACAGAAGAAGAGAATAGAGGAAAGTGAATGGACAGAGGGCTCGACGAGATGTCACTCACTAACGTGCACCTCAAGTCGAGAAAGATTTAGGAAAGATGAGAGAAGAGGTGACCCTCCGGAAAGGAGAGGGCGATGAACAATGTTTGGCTTCGAGGGCTATCAGATTGATTTGAAGCTATTGAAAGACGATCTCGACATTCGTTGCAAAATTTTTGTTACAAGAAAAATTAATTAAAATATAAAATTTACAGAAATGGATGTAGGAAAATTTCCTACAGAAGTTTATAGTAGTTTAGAATTTTTTACAATTTTTCGTTTTGGGTAAATCTACGGAAAACCCTGATTTCGCAGTTATCTTCGAGAGAGAAAAAAAGGAGAAACAGTATTCCATTTCTTTTCATTATTCAAACAGCTGATGTACCGTCACCGGGCGTCGTGGCGCGGTGTCGCCAAGCCGTGACACATTTGCCGCTATTTTGGTCTACAAAAGAAGGGGAAAAACTTAAAACGGAGAATGAAATTCTTCGTTACA